CCCCCCCTAACTTTCTATTTTATTACAAAACACACAGATCGTAGGCTAAAGAATAATGCACCATTAGATGTTTTTATACATGGTAGTCTTTTCAGAATATGAAACAAATTTTAATTTATAAAGATATGTCTTGGAGAGTCTTCTTCTCAAGCCCCCTCTGCATAATAAATAATGAGCAGTCGCTTACGCCTTAGGTTCAGAATTTGAATCTCGAATGTGATTGGCAATTTGTAAAAATATATTAAAATATTATATTAAACTCAACCAAGCATGATTATTAATACTCCTGTGAAAAAGGTATCGAACCGATCAATATTAATATGTTTATCTCCTGAGAAATTTGATACCTTTTTCACAGGATCATTAATATTCATGCTTGGTTGAGTTTAATAGAATATTCTAATATAAGCTATAACTGCAACATGCAATGGACCATTTGCATTATAGACTAAATTTTGATCTAGCCAAAAATTTCATCACAGCTTGAAAGAGCATCACAAAATTAGTAATATTCCAAAGTTTCGTTGCAAAATGTTGTAAAATGCGGATAATATAACCATGCGAAATTTGCCGTTTTTCAGTCATTTTGTATTACGCACGGGAAATTGACAGCCCAATCGGGTGTTGGGGCACCAATTTCCCGTTTGTAATACAAAATGACTGAAAATTGCAAATTTCGCAAGGCTATATTATCCGCATTTTACAACCTTTCGCAACGAAACTTTGGAATATTACTAATTTTGTGATGCTCTTTCAAGCTGTGATGAAATTTTTGTCTAGATCAAAATTTAGTCTATAATGCAAATGGTCCATTCCCAAACCAAAGAGCCTGTGGAACCCGGGTAGCTATTTTCATAACAATAGACACAAAATCCCTTATACAAGAATCGCGAAAACAAAACGTTATGCTATTTGAACAAACCCAAGTGACCATTCGTGTCTCCGGGAATATTAACTAAAGCACTTACATGTATGACCTGACATGGAAACTTGCTCACGCTATCTCGCGCCATTGTACGTGTTTTATAAGGCATGCACGTCAATTGCTGACGTCATTATAAATGCCAATCAGTTTGGAAAACTGTGCGCTATATCTCATTATTTCGTGCGGTGACCTATGTTGAAATTTTGCACACTGTATTGTGCATGTGTGTAATGTAAAAAAAATTATTATCGAAAAAACGACATTTTTGCCTTTTTTTCCAAAAAAATGGCATTACAGAATGTTTAATATTTCTCTTATTGTTAGTCCATGTTGTAAGTGACATAGTCCATGAAAAAAATTGGGTTACCATTCTTCTTTTCCGGCTACACAAAGCAATAAGCTATTTTAGAGTAAATTTCGTACGCGTGTGTTGCCATAGTAATGAACTATGTGTCACCAAAACTGACATAAATTGAAGAAGAAACTAGATGACCATCTTAATATCTGCGGCATAAAACCTAAAACGACAACGTTCACAAATGTCAAACTATTATACACCTGACGTTTTGAAAACTGTATCGAGTCGCCTTAATATGCGAAATCTAACTTCCGCCCTGAGAGCAATTCACAGTAATTCGCCTACGTCTTTTCCCGTAAGATTAATAGACCTGCCAAGTTGGGAAGATTGGATCCGGAGCATTGCTGTCATATTTAATCGGTAATGTTAACAGCATTTACCCAAGGCTCTCCGAAATATTCACTGTGATACGTCTTTCACAAAAGATCATAAGATCCACACAATCTTCTGAATAAAGAAATTGAGATATGTGTAATCCGCCAGAGTCGACTTCGTAGTGGGCTTTATCAATCAATTTTGTCTAAATTTAATTAAATAACAAGATAACAAGACTAGGAAGATAGTTGTTAGAAATTCTACCTCAACAAGACAAATTATGCCAAATCAACAAGACAAAGGTTACAGCTAATCAGCCTAATCAGTTATCACTTTTCAACATCACAATCAAACACAACTCCGGGATAAAACGAAAAATTTACTTGCGATTAACCGAAGAACTAATTTTGATCTTTGGCTTTGATCTATAACGTGGAAAGAACGCAAAAGGCAAACAATTTACATACACAGCGCAACATTTGAGTCATTTTCTAGTTCATTTCGTGGTTAAATCCAAGATGGCGTCCAATGTGAAATTTCAATGGAAATTTCAAGATTTAGCCCCTAGCAAATTTCACATTGGCCGACATCTTGGGTTTAACCGCGAAGTGACCTAAAGGTTGGCGATATTTTACTGGGAAACATCCCGTCGGAAGTACAGCGCACTTCCTAGTTCCTACTGTTGCATGCAAAGTTACAATCCTCTTACACTACCTCCCGAAAAAAACAGTCCCGTACGCCTATGTGAGTAGGGCAGGGGTGCCTGGGTGCAGAGGGCCACAAATATATAAAAAATAAAGTGATTTATGCATATAGATGTAAAATACCAACAGTCTAGTTTCCCAGATCAAATGCAGGATTTTCCCTGGGATGTCTGGTTTCAACGAAGCTTTCAATGTTCAAAGGCCTGATTTATGTCCGAATTTAATTAATAATCAGCATGATTTACAATATACTAGCAATTTTTGTATTTATTAACTTGACACGACAATACGACGTTGTTTGAAACGAAGAAGCGCTACAGAGCGTTCACAGGACGAATTTAATTCATTTTATATGACGCAATGCCAACCCATTTATTTCTTTTTGCTGCCGCAGGCAGCTTCCTATTCTTGTGATTTGTTCCCAGACCTCTTTACCGAGCTATATGAATGCGACAATGATTTGGATTTAGCAATGTTTGGATGTTCAGTTTTATGACGTTTTGTGACGTAGAAGATATTCGACGGGTCTTTACGGAAGCTACCGGCTGCTCTTCGGGACTTGCCAAGATTTAGCACGAGGGCGAAACTTACAAGTTGGCAAGTATTTAGCAAATATTGCGATTTTTAAGAATTATATCTTCTTGTAAAGTCATTTTTTAAGGTAAGATCAAAGTATTATCTACGATCTTTTTAGTTTAAGAAGAATTTTCAGGAGATTTGACGATTTGTTCTTCTATTATATATAGGCTCGCGTTTGATTTTATAAATCTGACAGTGCATATTTGGTGTTGGGAATCATTGTGTTCAAGCTGTCGCTGATCAATATATTGATCAGACACTTTGCGTGTTGGTCACGGTGGCCAAACAGGCAACTCAAATAAAATTTACATCAATTCTAAACAAACAAACTGAAACAAACGAGAGCCATTGTGTTCAAAACAAACGAGAGCCATTGTACGAAGGAATCACGTGACTCAGAGCTACAGTATATCATATATAGAACTGCAAATTTTACAGACCTCTATTTAATACTGATAGAATATATGATAGTGATAGAATATATTGCATTTGGTTAAATGGGGGTAACAATTGAGCAATATTGTGCCTGAATTGGTGCACATTTTAATACTGTAGTTATAGTGTGAGAAGCAATGATCTATTTTGGCATCAGACGTTCTTTTCTCGATCATATAAATATGTTGATGTGAGCCCCTGTATATACCCCTCCCTGTATATACCCCTCCCCTTATATAAGCCCAGGGCTTATAATCGGAGGTTACGGTATTTGGTTTGTTTACAATATTTGGTAATTTGTCCACACGGTTTAAGTGTTTGACAATTGACATTTGAAATAAATGAGATATTAACTTTAAAACATTGCATTCACTGTTTTACTTGGCCAAACAATCTATTAAAATTACATGTCAGTAGTTAAATCTACTTGTTATTAGAATGAGTAATAACCCTGAAGTACCCCTTCGTACCCCTATGAACCAAGCATAGTGCGTGCGAGAGAGAGCCTATGGCTAGCAGGCTGGCCAAATATATAACTTTTTATTGGTAGAGTATTGCAAAGTTATTTCATTACAACTACTCAAATACCTCCTGTAGACAACCCATCACCATATTAGTACTATATTCAGAACAATTAACAAATTTGGTTGTGGATTACCTGCAAAGCATTGCAGCTGCCACATGATGCTGCTACATGATTCGTCATCAAAATGCTGACGTAATTATCCTACCCAATGCACTTATGGAGCTCCGCCATGTTGAATATTATCAGGGGGTGAATGCCTCTTAGCGCACTGGCTAGTACCCTGCTAGTACTGATGTTGAGACGCGATTGGTAACCAGGCCTTTATGGCAAACATAAGGTAATCAAGGCGCCAACTTTTTCGCAAGTTTGTGAATACACGTACGGCAGCAATTTCACTAACTTTTTGTTATACTAGTATTAAATTAGTCGGAATAATATTTGATAATAGTGCAACGTGTGAAGGCTTAAATTTAAGTAGAATTTACCACCAACATGGATTTTGTTTTCTAAATATTATAGGTTTCTTTCATCAGTCATAATTCTAGAAAATTTACACCACATGGCGTAAATAACTTCAGCTGAGGAGATGCTTTTGAATGCGCTGTCCCACCAACAGCTGCAAAGGGCTGGATTCAGCAACGCTTGTATGTTATTCTGAGTCTCAACAAGTTTTGGATCCATTTATTGTGAAATCAATTCCATCAGAAAATCAATTACACTCGTGGAAGAGGGACATTAACAACAATGATAGAATGAAATACTTTCAGACATATTCCTGAACATTAGACATCAATTGTATTAATGTTCTGTTGAAGTTACACACTTCCAAAAAAATCTAGCCAGCAGTGCAACAAGAGGTCAACTGGTTTTCCAAGACTCACAACAAACTACAGACAGTTTCGCAACATCCACCACCTTCCTCGATTGCAGATTTCGAGAAAATGCTTTACCTCAACAGATATGATGCAATATGCAACGACTGAAATGGTATGACACCAATGGAGTTGCAATAGGATGCGTTAACCGTTGGATTTCCTCTGATCACATAACTTGGATGATGAAAACCTTAACAGAATCCCAAAACGACACATATTGCATTTTTTTAATGGCGCACTAAACACAGATTCAAAAACCTACCGCCGATTTAGACATGGGAACGCTAATTTTCTATCGAAATTTATCTTTGCACTTAATGTCGGTTGGGATGAACGTGGAACTTTCCTCGGCGCCGACGACAAGCGAGGTTGTGATTGGACTTTATGTCATATCGATATCGTGGCAAAGAAAATTGTGTACGGGGATTCCTTTGCCTGGCCTTTTCCAAGTGGTTTGCTGTGCAGGGTAGAGAAATACATAAAAGCGGTTTGTAAAGATGACGAAACTATTCAATGGTCATGTTGCACGATCCTCAAAACCACATGTCTGGCATGCATCGTTGTGGAGCCACTTGTGCGGAACTTTACCCGCTGCAAACATGCACTAATATATGCGGAATTGTTGTGATGCGCGTAGCAGCAATAGCCTGTCACAATTTCGAATTTTTTCAACACATCTCAACCAGATATAGCAATGCTACCACCTTCCCTCCAATATTTCTTCAGACCCCAAGTAGGTTTGGGAAATACCTACGCTTCGTTGTTGCATCCTGGTTGGCAAGTAATTCAGAGTTCAATGAACTTGGAATAAGTTGTCCGGTTATGGAAGCAGCAACAACATCATCTGACCTCCTCCCGTTCCATGACTATCTCACATTCGTCATCGTACAGAGAGCGTAAAACGCAACAATAGTAATGGTCAGGACGGAGAATCACACAATAACATATCAACACCATCCACGGGCTGCAGCAAAAATGAATGTAAAACCAGCAATCAGGGTATTACAGCTAGAACGCTATAGATCACTAGCGATAGCGATGGTGACGTAACTTGCAAATTGTATGAAACACGATGATCACTGTTATGTTGGTGTTACATGAAGTATAGAACATTGTATCAGGGGGTGCGTGGTGATTGTAAGTGAGCACATGCGTGTAGGTTTATATTTTGGGACGTTGAAATAAATAACGATTTTAAAGACATAACATTGGCGACGAGGATGGGATTAGGCCTGACCAAGAGAAATTTGTTGCAACAAAAAATACACCTGCAACAAACAACAAACGAGCCGACAACTGCTTTGTCAATCTATACCCAAGTTCACACGGGATAAATTGTTTGAAAGATTAATCAAGCTCACCAAAGGAAAGAGCACCAGCAAGCTCAAACATATTCAAGATCGTCGCAACAAAAGCATCGCATTAATAATTGATAGCGTTCAATGCGTAATTGGTTCTAAATGACTAATTAAGAGTGAAAATAATTGCAATACATACACAGTTAGCAAGCAACAGTATACATTAACAGATGCAACATGCCCGTTAAAATGCACAGAATGTACATGCACCAATATATACGCACCTGCCCAGATTGTCTTATTCAGCATACCATATGCAAGCACATATACACCTTGTCTGAAGACAGGCCACCACAAGATGCAGCCAATAACAAACACACCGGCTAACAAAAATATTGAAAAACAGAAAGGATTTCCATCAACGAAGAAAAAGACAAGAAAGGCTAACAGAACCCGATTCACGAAGCTAAGCACTGAGGATATTTGCTCACAAACCATGCAATAATGGTACTTTTCTAATCAATATGTTTAGTTTAGGTATCGGTCATGATTTATGGCGGGGAGTGGCACCGACGAGAAAAGGGTTTGGTAAACAAAATTTTGAGTGAGTAAAAAGTTGAGTAAATAAAAAACAAAATAACTCAAGGGTTGGGTAATTTATTGTCATTTCCAAAGCATGACTCACACAAATATTGAAGACTATAAAAAGCAATGTAAACAATACAATAAGTAAATCAATCACTCAGGGTCACTATTTTATTCATTTTCCGATTTGTCAGGAGGCAAATGTGAAGAGAACATCAAACTTTAAAGTATATAAAATTGAACAAGCAGTTATCAAATTCATGAAGTAGTAAAGGACATGTGTAACAACTGAATAATATCCTTAATTTTGTAAAATTTTTGGCCAAGGGTGACTATTTAATTTGGAATTGATATTTTTTAATTTTTAATTATTAGATGTGCAAAATTTGTGCCAAGAAAAACATTTCTCTTTGGTGTCATCCCCTGTCATAAATAATGAAATAAGAATACAGGCATATTCTAAGCACTGATTTTAAATTGTTGTCACCAAAGTGATGTTGAATAATGGAAGTAAAAATCCAATTACACGTAATTTTTAAGCACACAACTTTTTCCAAAATGCCTGGATATGTATGATTTGATTTAGCATTTATAGTTGCAGTTAGCCAATAATATATTTATTTTATAGTTAAAGAGTTTCTTAAAAGCTTTCGGGTATCAAAAAAAGTCGTGAAGATGGTTAAGGAGACGAATGGACTTATTTCAGATAACGACCTACACGTTGACAAAGACCATCCATCAGCAGAGGCACTGAATTACAACATGATGTCTATCAAACGCTACTTAAGTCAACGACTTATGTATGTATTAAACTATGACGAAGCTAATTACCATAAAGATCTTGTGTAGCCAATCAGATATATGGTCGCAAATATAAAAAAAATAGATCGTCAAGATAAGATTGATCGGCTTCTTGTTGATGCATTGAGGAAATCTGATGATTCCCAAGATACAAATTCAACAAAGAGTAGTAATCAATTGTTCTAGAACTGTGAAAGTATTGTAGAACTGTTGAATAAGATCCTTGCCAAAAAAATCGAATGGCAAGAGTGGAGATACAACAACTGTTGCTGAAGTATGAATTTGATAATGTTGATAACCTTTAACAAGTTTTACAGGCACATGAGTCAGTAATGTTGAACATTATTTTGATGTTTGAGCTTATTAACACTTTTTACCATATTAGTTAAAATAAAAGCTATTGTTCTATACTCTATTAAGTCTATCAAATTATGTCTTCATTTGCAAGGACCATGTCATTTTGCCAAGGTACTGCTCCAGCATTTAAAATAAAATAACCACGAAAGTTGTCTCGTATAACTTTGGCAGCCATAGAGTAGCTAGTTGATCCCATGCTTCTCCCATCCTGAAATCCTGAATTGCATGCACTGAATTCTTTTCTTGGCGCCAAGCTCCCTCTCTGAATTTAGAGCCTGCATCGATGACTAATGAATTTGAATATCTGCGTCTCAAATCGTGACGCGAAATTCTCATTGGTCAGTTGCTTATAATTTATATTATTCCGCTGAGCTCTATATATGTCAACTGCTAAGCACTATGCATAAAAAACACATTAACTGATCAAATTTGTCTTGGCCATCTTATCTCAAAGCACGAAATGTTCTGTTTTGAGAAAACAGTATTTAAAACATTTAAACTTTTGCTTCAATATCTTATATTTCGAAAAACAGTATAAACTGTACGGTCTAAATTTAGTTTGCATGGTCTAAATTTAGTTTGCACGAAAGTTGTAAACAACACCATATAAGGATAAACATTCCATATTTGGAAAAACGAACGTTACGGGGCAGATATTCAAATTCATTAGTCATCGATGCAGGCTCTCAATTCAGCTTGAGAGCCTGTTCGCAGGCTAAGATCTACAAAGTCCGATGGGCAATAGGCATTGTTGGAAAAGGACTTTTCAGCCATTAAGTAGAAATGAAGAACGATTACGGCCCTGGTGGCCTCTGTTGCTACCTCGACATCCGCAATAATTGCTCTCCTGAATAGTCTAAATCTAGTAGTGGCTATTCCAAATGCATTTTCTATTATTCTGCGAGCTTAAGAAATGCGGTAATTAGCAATTCTTTCTTGCATCTGAATGGCTCCTCTTGGATATGGTTTGACCATGTAAGGGAAAAGTTTATCAGTATACCTGGTAACTGCCTTGCAGCTGGTAAATTTATTATATGTTGTTTTCCATCGCAATGCTAATGTTGCTGCTTGAAAATACACTACCATCACTAAGCCTACCATGGTCTACAATGTTTACCATTGTAAATTCATATTTAGCATTACAGACAGCCGTTAAAACTACATCCTCCTCTTGGGGGACATTGAATCGCGACGTGTTTTCCATCAATCGCCCCGACGCAGTTCGGGAAATTCCATCCGCTTTCAAAATCTTGAGCAATCTTTATCCACTCAGAAGGATTCTTAGGAACTGTAATGAAACCTTCTGAACTAAGAACGTCCCATATAACAGAGCACGTTTCTTTTACAATGCGACCAACCCTAGTACAACTGAGTCGATAGCTTGCAGCAATCGTTGAAAAGGCATCTCACCAAAAATCTCTCAAAAGTCTTTCACTGGGACCTATAGCTTCTCTCTGGGCTTGAACTGAAAACCAAATCCCAGTCAAACAGCATTGCTTCACGATCAAGGACGTGGTCTATAATTTCAAGAATCTGGATTAAAAAAAAGATGCTCTGTTATTCTTCACTCAAGTGAAAGGAGGGTACAGTAAAACTTCAGATATAAATATTTGCCTTATCCAAAACCTTTTTTTGACATTTCTATATTATTAAAAAAAATATAAAACATTTTTTCCGTATTTATATATAGTTATATCAACACTCGTGGAAGTTGGGAAAACTCGAAATTGTATGAAAACACTCCGCCCTTCGGGCGTCGTGTTTCCATACAATTTCGAGTTTTCCCAATTCCACTCGTGTTGATATAACTGTATATCAACACGGAAAATGTTTTATAGTTGTTAAATACTATATGATATCCTAAGATATTGAGATCCTCAGATATTGTATGATATTCAGAGTCAAGCTCGGAGCCATTCCAAATAGCTCGGTACCGAGCTCTCAATAGCTCGGAACCGAGCTCATTTGAATAATTACTCGCTGGAGCACCCTGCGCCCTGGCGATTATAGGTTTCGGCACTCATTTTTAGTGGATCGGCCATATCTAAAAGTGGATCTCCAATCTCCAATCTTCGTCGATAGCCACAAAATAGAATATCAATGAGCTGCCAATTTTTACCCAAATTATCCATAAGATTCCTGCCAATTTTTATCCAAATTATCCATAAATAACCCTAACTTTTAAAGAAAAATTAAAGAATCTTACTATAAAAAAAGCCAAAGGTGCTGTTTATTTTAACCAGTATGAATATGTTTACGTTCTTTTAAAACTGCTTTTTTACTGCATTGAGGATTCAACAACAAGGATAATGAATTTGGAGATGTATTAATGCCAAATAAATCCTACCAAGCAGTCAAAATGACATCTTATAGCTCGACAAAGACATAAATACAAAGACAGCGATGCACAGGAACAATTGTAATTGTATGAAATATAACCTCGATATTAAGACTGCTAAGTGCTAACTATGCTTTTATAAGAACAGAGTAAAGACCAGACACAGTACTAAAATGCGGTGCTTTACAAATTTCCGGCGACCGTCGTTTCCGCCTACAAAACGTGCTACAAGCAAAGGTTATATTTTATAGTACGCTACATTCCTCCTGTACGTCGGCCGGCAGTTTTTCCGTACGCTTGGTCGCCTTAATTATAAAACCTTCAAAATAAACTATTGTCGGATCAAAATACTATCAAAATGAAGAGAAACGTGAGACGAACCATTGGTATACGGCCGAAAAAGAGAAAACCAACCATACGAAAGTTATCAAGGATCAAACGTACTACATGTTTAATTAGTTAAATAATAATTTTGAGCGATTTGTCAATTGTCAATTGTCAACAATACAATTTCGCTTGACTTTCAAGGCCATAAATCGCTAGAATGATGCTGTTTGGTGATTCGTACGCTGATTCGAACGATGATATTTTGTCCTCGTTGGGTCACTTGTGTGCATAAAACCAAAGATAGTCGGTCCTGAGAGTCCGAGATTAATTAATTCAATTTTAGGGAAGCAATGGCGAAGTATTTGGTTTGGAACAAACTCCTCCCCAAAAAACCTGTCTGCATGGTAGTGGTGCTAAACTAAGTAATTTTGCAACAATAGACAGGTTCTTTTGCCCCAGCGAGATTGAATGATCGTAGGATTGAATCACCGAATCCTAAGATGGAGTCATTGAATCCTAAGATTGAATCTTTGAATCCTAGATAGAATCTTTGAATCCTAAGATTGAATCATTGAATCCTAAGATTCAATCATTGAATCCTAGATTGAATCATTGAATCCTAAGATTGAATCATTGAATCCTAGATTGAATCATTGAATCCTAAGATTGAATCATTGAATCCTAGATAGAATCATCAAATCCTAGATTGAATAATTTAATCCTAGATAGAATCATTGAATCATAAGATTGAATTATCGAATCCTAAGATTAAATCATTGTATCCTAAGATTGAATCATTGAATCCTAGATTGAATCATTGAATCCTAGATTGAATCATTGAATTATAAGATTGAATCATTGAATCCTAATATTGAATCATTGAGTCCTAGATTGAATAATTGAATCTTAGATTGAATAATTGAATCCTAAAGTTGATCATTGACGAGTGTGTTCTCACCAGAAAAGCTATAAAGTTTTGTTTGTCCCTACTATCCTTTCTACCGCAGTGAAGCCAACTTTTTAGCCTTCCTGGTGTGAACACACTCGTCAATGATTCAAGCTTAGAATTCAATGATTCAATCTAGGATTCTATTATAGGATTCTATTATAGGATTCAATTTAGGATTCAATGATTAAATCTTAGGATACAATGATTCAATCTTAGGATTGAATGATTCAATCTAGGACTCAATGATTCAATCTTAGGATTCAATGATTCAATCTAGGACTCAATGATTCAATCTTAGGATTCAATTATTCAATCTTATAATTTAATGATTCAATCTAGGATTCAATGAATCAATCTAGGATCCAATTATTCAATCTAGGATTCAATGATTCAATCTTAAGATACAATGATTCAATCTTAGGATTCAATAATTCAATCTTAGGATTCAATTATTCTATCTAGGATTCAATTATTCAATCTAGGATTCGATTATTCTATCTAGGATTCAATTATTCAATCTTAGGGTTCAATTATTCAATCTTACGATTCAATGATTCAAATGAAGCTCGGCTCCGAGCTAGTTCGAGTGACTCAGAGCTATTGAGAGCTCGGATCCAAACTATTTAGAGTGGCTCCGAACTTGGATCCGAATATCATACAATATCTTAGGATCTCAATATCTTAGGATATCATATAGTATCTTAATATATTATACCGTATCTTAGGATCTCAATATATTAGGATATCATACAGTCTGTTAGGATATCAATATCTTAGGATATTGTTGTATCCTGCCCATATCACGTGCACGAGCACGTGAACATTATTTAACCTGCTTTTTGGACTTTAGACTTAGAAATTTAATGTTAATTTGTTTGCATCTAACCAAGTCTTAACATTTTCGATTTCCTCTCCCAATTTGTATTCAATTTCAAAAGAAGACTCTCCAGTTGCAGTTAAGCTTGTATCGTCAGCAAACATGGCGGGTTCAGTTATTTCTAAACTATTTTGCAAATCATTTATATAAATTGTAAACAAGAGTGGAAGGTTATATCCTTGTGGGATCTCGCATGTAATGTTTTGAAAGGTTGATAGCGAGTTATTTACTTTGTATATTCGTTTCCTATCACTAAGTTATGACTGAAAGCATGACAGTGATAATCCACGAATCCCATAACATCCCAACTTGAATAATAGAATCTTATGGCTTACCGTGTCAAAAGCCTTTTTGAGGTCCAGAAATAGCACACCACGTTTGCTATTAGTTACATGTAGCAATGACGTTTCAGTTGAATGATTTGCTCGAAAACCAGACTGAATTTAGAATTAAAGCTAGAATTTTGATTTAAAGCTAGTTTCGAGTGATGAGCATACCCTAAATTTTAAGCTATACCTCAAAGAAGATGGGTCATTTGAACATAAACATTGAAATGTGGGTATACTGACAGCTCTGTCACACATGTAGTTTGACATTAGCAGACCTTCATTTTAACGAAACATTTTAACGAAAGCATAATTTACAAAGCCAAAGTTTACATTTTCACTTACTTCTTAACATCTGTTTTAATCCAACTAGCTCTGTAGGCACGAGCGAAATTTAGTGTTGATGTAAATAATCCATTTTGTTCATGTTCCCCCGGTGAAAATATAGTCTATTCCAAGCTGATTTGGACGTACTTTAGCTTTTCAGAAACCGTTGGCCTTCCTCAGTAAGATTATCAACAGTTTCACAAACATATTTGATAGTAAACAGCTAAAATATTCTCCGAAAGTCTATATTCTTGCTCATCGACGCGAAAATGGAAACTCAAGAAGAAATGAGCCGCTATTTTTGGTCAGCGTCAACAAATTACCTACCTGTTCGTCAAGAATAGTCGGCTGCTTCGCTGACGCTCGGCAGCAATTATTCATATTATCAGTTCGAATAAAAATGGTTCAACTTACCACAGAACAAAGAGTTTTTATTGTGCTAAATTATACGGAAACTCAAAGTACATGCATGCATGCATAAAATTCGATTCAATTGTTTTTACGCATCCATGAGTTCAGTATACACGGTGTCCCAAAAACCAAAACCAACCTGGAAACCAACCAGACAAGTAGGCCCAGCTTGATGATAATCCTGATGATGAACCAGCCAATATGGAAACTCTGTTATGATCTAAACTATGATCTACAAAGTATAGATGAAACAATAGACAGACTGAGTGACAAAATTGCAAATTTACACCCACCACCAAAGCCTTCTAATCAATCACCATCTGCAACGAGAACCACCAGCTAATTCTGATTCCACTCAGCATAACCGACACAAAAAGCGGCAACCTCTTCAGGAAGTTCAAAATTTAGTTAACGATGTCGTCCAGCAGGAACCACCTCAACAATCACAACAACCACAGCAAAACACAAATGGAATAATTGAATGGCTGTTCCCCACAAGTATCTACCAAACTCAAATAGGTGGAAGACCAATGGCAAGTAATGCTTGGACAATTATTGCTTCGATGTGGTGCCGGACGTTTCTGTTAAAAACATTGGTCATCCCATCTAATAAAAGTGATATCCGAGCTATGACAAGCAGCTACAAACAAACAATTTTGAATGGGAACTTATTGTATCAAGGTTCGAATCTACCTCATGACCAACCAAATTTGGAAGTTCGAGATGTGGTCAACAAGATCAAGGATCTGAACTTACAAATTTTGCACGATTTGGGATTCTTCAATGTGGATGACATTAAAGAAACATTTGTTCAAATGCTTCAAGGAGGGAAAAGGCATGCTGGTGTTTTGATTATCCCACCAGCCAATTCAGTGGCCATATTTACCGATAATGGAAACCTGGCTGTGTTTGACAGTCATCAGCATGGCATCAGCAAGGTGGCCTAGTTCTCATATCAGCAAGTTTGCAGAAATACATGAACTTTTCAATTATCTTGGAGAAAACCATAACTTGTGTGGCAGCAACTTTGCCGAACTTGCTATGAATGTAATATAAAGCATAACATAATTTGTTGGGAAATGTTCAATTTAAATAAAATATTGCAAATCAATGTACATGTATAAGGAGTCAGTAGGTCCTATATCGTTTTCAATCATTTCAATAATTTGTGTTGTATTGTACAATTAGTGAACAAACACAGGCATATGAAAACATCTATTAAAAATCATTCAATTGGTTGAAACTTAAATAAACAAAGCAAGGTGCTATATTAACGGTACATGTGAAACAAACCAATGCAGTTCATCAGACAAATATTAAACGAGACTCTCTTTTTGAGAAAAAATTGTATAAAGGTTGAGCTCAAGTTTTCTATGATATTCAGACATTGAAAAGATTTTTTGTTATAAAATTTATATGACCAAGTTTGGTTTTCAAAAAAACATATTCGAAATATAAATGGTACTAAAGTTACTTCTATAGCTAAAAATGCCTATTTGTAGTGGGAAAACACTTGAAACTCTTCGCGTGAATCGTGCCATATATGGACACGGTATAGTAATTTCAGCCGAAAGGAATCCCAGTTGTTTGGAATGTATTTTAACAGCGCGCTCAGATTATAGCGCGCGTTTTTAAAGGCGAAATTTGCCTTCAAGGGCAATCTTTCACTCAAAGTGATTATGAATTTACTCCAGAGAATTCAAAAATAGGATCATAATTTTGGAGATTTCGGTTATATTTTTTGTAATTTGGCTCTGTAGGGACACCGCCCGGACACGTACCTTTTTCTGGTTTCATTCACCAACGTGTAGCAGACAGACCCTTCTTTCAGCACGCGCGTGGCAAAGTTGTGTTCATTACATCGGTCTACTTCTTCGTGTATAAATGTGCTCATCACTCTCACAAATTTGGCTCAAATCACTTGAAAATTCGTCCTCTATCAAGCCATGGGTACCAGTTCACGTACAAGTTTGTTTTACGCCATTTAAGCAAGCGAGTTGCCGGAGAATTCATGAATAAATACAACAGTTTGAAAGGCACAAATACAGGTCCAAACCAAAGTATCTTTGTCGCCATTATTTGAACAAAATTTACCGTTAAAAAGGGCATGTTTAACATCTGAAGCAAAGTTGGTGTGCTAATAAAGAGAAGTTCAGATCTCAAACAAACTTTCTCTTTGTAGTTCTGATTCAAAATTCGAATTCCAACGAAAAAATCAGTCAGGCTGTGCCAGCAATTTCTCTGCACAGTGACAACAAATTTCCCAGCTGCTCGAAGTTCGTTTTATATATTTGACGAATTTTGTTTTATATATTTGGGGAAATTCTTTTCATATATATTTTGGAATATTTCGTTTTATATATATATATATATATATATATATATATATATATATATATATATATATATATATATATATATATATATATATATATATATATATACAGGGTGTATCAAAATAATTCGAATCCAAATTTGACAGACTGCTGTTTATAAAATACTACAGTAAACCATATAATTTTTATATGGCAATAAAGAATAGCCTATTAGGTTTCCGATTATATCGTTCTTATATCAATAAGATCAAAAATGACCAACAAATCGTGTGTTAAAACTGTTTGCTCGAAATCAAATTTTTCCGCCGATGGGAATTCGAAGTGAGACGTACAAACAAAAGATAATGCAAATTTAATTAATCAACAAACTGTTATGTAGCAAAATTTACATAAATTCATGTTCATTTAAAGAGATTTAAGCTCCTATGCTTTCAACATTTTGAACGAGAAGAAATTCGTGTTAAATTTGCATTTTAGTTTTCAGTGATGATTAGCATTTCAAAGCCTTGTGGGACTAACTTTGAAAGAAAAAATGTCCAATTCCCATCGGCGGAAAATTGTGATTTTTATGGACTTTTTTTGTCAAAGCAATACTCCTTCATTTTCTAACTAAATGACGCGTACAGCATGTCATTTGAAAGATAAATAAATGAACTTAACAATGGTGTAAAAACCAACCGAATTTGTCAAATATATTCTGCGTTATTACACGCCAAATTTGGATTCGATATATATATATATATATATATATATATATATATATATATATATATATATATATATATATATATATATATATATATATATATATATATATATTAATGTCGTTTTATATATGGGTGTTTCGATTTATATATGATTGTTTCATTTTATATATTTCTGTTTCATTGTATATATTTCTGTTCTGTTTTATATATGGCAATTTCGGCTTACAAAAATAGATTTGAAATTATATATTTGAAATATACATTATATAAATGGACGTAAAGTAATATTGTCTATCTTGGCACGCCATAATACTGGGAGCATATATTAAATATTGACTTATTCAGAAATTAAAATATCTTTGTAAAGCGCACGATTTTCTGCTCCTGGGAATTAACAAACAGATTCTTAAACGATTTCTTTATGCATAAAATTTAGTTACGTCAAGCTTTGATGCACGTATGAGTTCAGCAGAGTGCTGAGGCATTCAAATTCTAACAATACATTTATTTCAATAGTTTTCGTTTTTTGGGACACCCTGTAACAGGGTGTCCCGAAAAAAAGTATACCTTTTTGAAATGATCCTATTGTAATAATTTGAAAGCCTGAGCAATGTGAGCATTATGCTGAAACGACGGATGCGTGCAAGATTTTCAACTCCTGGGAATTTAAAATAGCTTCTAATATTATAAAAGAGAGTGACTACACAAAATGGTCAAATTACTGATCAGTCATGTGCAAGTTGCACACCGTTGATCAGGTCCAGTAAATATGATTCAACTGACCATGGAGCAAAAAGTGTTTGGATGGTTTTTTACGTCGAATGCAATTCAAACAATAGATAATGAAGCCTATTGAGGTTTATCTTGTCATTATCTATTGTCTTAATAGTTGACCTGCATCTAAGGACTTATAGCCTGGTCATTATCGAGACGTCGGCATAAGCAAAATCGCTGATTTCTACTGGTTACCGCTTTTGAATTTGCATGTTTAGGCAAAATACTTGGTTTATTGGTTATGACTGAACGGGACTAAATCCTGAATAAATTGAATGTCGATACATGTGTCATGCATCATGTTAAAGGGGCCGGTCTTTCAAACTTATAGCTCGATCGATCGTAGTGAATTATAGTTATACTGATATACGCAAACATTTCTCGTGGCGAGATTCGAAGAGAAGATGGTTTCCTCACGCTCTTCTCAGATATAGAAAGAAGTGTGATTGAATGACTACATGCATGTATACAGTTTATCAGTTGATGTTTTGCAGATTGACCTCGATCAGTAATCAGGTCACAAGGGAATTCATACATACTGTACTGTATAAGGAAGTGGAAATATTTCAACTATCAAAATCACTTGCATTTACATGTAATAATTGCTTTACTGGCTATAATCATAGATATTTTATATACACTAGATAGTGCATCTAATTATTCTGCAATTCAAAAATTGAAGCCGTGATTGCAGACTCAGGATATTCCCATGAAATGTGACGATTCGTATGTTTTCTATTTTTTAAACAGGTAACTTAAACATTAAGTTAAATCTATTCCAAATACATTTTTAAACTATTAAAATGATGAAAGTTATTGTTGTTTTTTAAGCGTTTATTAGCGAGTGGGAACTACCAACATGACCGCCATCTATTCAAATGGGAGTAACCGCTGGAATATTCTTGGCTTCAATTTTACTAAAAGAGATGCGCTATTGACTTTATTGACTTTATTGACTTTATTAAAAACGGTACTATTTCACCAAGATATTTACAAAAATTAAGACGGGTGATCTTCCAATAGGCCGTATATAGCTATACTAATTACACATATACTACAGTATCTAATAATAATAACTAAATCACAAATTACACACTTACAGTTAGACTATTTTTAAATGTAGAGATACTTGTTTTAGCTTTTATGTCAGCAGACAGATTATTCCAAGTCTCAGCTCCTCGATAGGCGAAAGACTTTTTCATAAAATTAGTTTTAGGTTTAGGTAATGCAAAATTGAATTCGCTCTGTCTTGTATTGTAATTATGTATTTCATTTGAGGTGATGAAAAGTTCCGTTAAGCAATTTGGTAACATGTTATATTTGGCTTTGAACATTAGGACGGCTAAATGATGTTTTCTTCTAGTCACGAGATTTGGAAAACCGACCTTGTTCAAAACATCGATTGTACGTATATCATAGTTTTCACGAGTTATTATTCGAAATGCTCTATTTTGAAGCTTCTGGAGTTTATCAGATAGTACTTTACCCAGACAACCCCAAATCTGTGAGCAATAGTCGAAATGTGGTTGAATTATTGATAAATAAATTTTGATCAGTGTTTGGTAATCTAGAATGTCTCTCAATCTTTTAAGGATACTGAGACCTGAATTAACCTTTTTTGTAATTTGATCAACTTGGGCATTCCATGAGAGTGTTTCGTCAATCATTAAGCCGAGTGATTTGGTCGTTTTGACTCTATTAATTTCTCTGTCTTTTATGAATATATTAGGCGTTATGTTAATATGATTGACTCTTCTATTACTACCTATTATCATGTATTCTGTCTTCGTTTTGTTTACTGAAGTTAGTTTATTTGCCGACAACCAAACTGAAACGTTTTCTAGATCTTGATTAAGTTCCTCAGCAATTGTATTAACATCATAACCTGCCGTTTCAATTTGGGTATCGTCGGCAAACATATTGACTTTAGTGTGTTCCAGACAATTAGGTAGGTCATTTATGTAAATTAGGAACAAGAGTGGACCATGAGCCGAACCTTGTGGTATACCCGTTGTCACACATAGAGGGTCAGATAAATGGGCATTCACTTGGCAATATTGTATTCGACCTGTTAAATAGGAGTTGAGCCAGCGTAATGCCGACCCCCTTATGCCATAAATTGCCAACTTACTAAGAAGGATGTCGTGATTAACAGTATCGAATGCTTTTTTTAAATCAAGAAATATCACACCATTAAGTTGGCCAATGTCCATATTCAGATACCATCTATTTGTGATATCGAGCAACGCAGTTAGAGTTGAATGGTTCGGCCTAAAGCCGTGTTGGGAATTTGCTAGTAGATTTTCCTTAATCAAATATTCATAGATCTGGTTGTGTATTAGCTTTTCCATGATTCTTGCAACAATTGAAATAACGGACATAGGTCTATAATTGACCATTTGCGTAATAGACTAAATTTTGAACTAAACAAGTCTAGACAAATATTCCATCACAGCTTCAAGGAGCATCACAAAATTAGTAATATTCCAAAGTTTCGTTGCAAAATGTTGTAAAATGCGGAAAATATAGCCTTGCGAAATTTGCAATTTTCAGTCATTTTAGATTACAAACGGGAAATTGACAGCCCCAAACCCTTCGAGGCTGTCGATTTCCGGTTTGTAATCTAAAATGACTGAAAATTGCAAATTTCGCAAGGCTATATTTTCCGCATTTTACAACATTTTGCAACGAAACTTTGGAATATTACTAATTTTGTGATGCTCTTTCAAGCTGTAATGAAATTTTTGTTGAGATCAAAATTTAGTCTATTACGCAAATGGTCAATTGGACATGCAGAATTTTTCCCCAGATTTATAAATTGGTGTAACCCTCGCAACTTTCCAGTCAGATGGAAATATGCCAGTGCGGATTGATTGATTAAAAATTAAAGTAAGTGATGGAGCAATAGATGGTGCTGCAATTTTTAAAACTTTAGCCGAAATTTGATCCAGACCGGATGCCTTGGATATAGTTAAGTTAGAAAGCAATCTCAATATTACAGTCTCTGATACCTCTTTAAAGTGCGATAAAGTGTCAGTTGGACATTGAAAATTGGTAAAATATCTGTCGGGAGTTGACGTTGATAAGGGTATAACATTAGAGACCTTAAGATTGACGTTTACGGCAAACGTCAAACGGCTAGCGAGGTTTATGATTTTACAACTCTATTATAATAGCTTTTACACCAGTTTTGAAATATGTTAAACTTATTAAACTTGTGCTCTTTAGCAATGATTTAAGAAAGCAAATTAACCACTAGTCATGCCATTCACCAAAGCAGTAAACTAAGACTTGGCGTTTGAAGTTGGCGTTTGGCGTATAAATTTCATGCTTGAACTGCTACGAGGGCTTGTAGTCGTTAAAGCATGAAATTTATACGCCAAACGTCAACTTCAAACGCCAAATCTTAATTTACTGCTTTGGTGAATGGCATGATTTGTGGTTAATTTGCTTTCTTAAATCATTGCTAAAGAGCACAAGTTTAATAAGTCTAACATATTTCAAAACTGGTGTAAAAGCTATAATAATAGAGTTGTAAAATCAAAAACTGCTCTAGCGGTTTGACGTTTGCCGTAAACGTCAATCTTAAGGTCTCTAATAGATAAATTATCCCCTAATTCAATGAAATATTTGTTAAACTGATTTGGGATATCCGCTTGATCAATAATTTCGTTATTTTCATTTTTAAGCTGTAGTACTTTATTGGCTTTTTTTGACTTGTTAATCACCTCATTGCTTATTTTCCATGTTTTCTTAATATCACCTGAATTATTATGTATCTTTTCTTGATAGTGTTGACGCATTGTACTTTTAATCAATCTATTATAATGATTCTTCAATGATTTATAGGCTGCCCAGTCGCCGTCTAAGTTAGATAAAGTTGCCTTTCGTTTAAGATATACTTTTTGGCGTTTATAATATTTTAACTCACGGGTTAACCAAGGTACACGTTTCTTAGACACTCTACGTTTTTTTAAGGGTGCATGTTTATTGACAATGTGAAGAAATTTATTTTTCCAAGTTAACCAAGAAATGTTGGGATCTAAATGGTCTAAATTTAGGCTTGATAATGATTCCAATTCAAAAAGAAAATTGTTTTCATTAAAGTGCTTGAAATCCCGACATTCTACAACTTCCGGGGCTCCCTTGGTTGTATAAAATTTACGAATACCGTAAATTAAGTAGTGGTCACTAATAGTGATAATTCTTACCCCACTAGAAATTATTAAGTCTGGTTTTGTTGTATAAAAGTGATCAATCAAAGTTGCGTTGTCTTTTTGACTCTTGTAGGTTCATTTATCAATTGCTCGTATTGATAAAGATTAGTGATGAAATTCATCTCAGAGACAAGATGTGAAGGATTGCTACTTAGGATATCCGAATTAACGTCACCTAAAATAATGCTTTTTTTATTTTCATTATCAATCAATTTAAGGCAATTTTCAAATTTATAAAGTGTGTCGATAGGGTCGTTTGGGGGCCTATACCATGTGGTAAGTAGAAATGGCTTGCTTTTGTTTTTGGTAATTTCAATTGTTAAGATTTCAATATTAGGATCGTTAAGGTCAGATCTAAGCTGGAAATTAATTGTATCACGTATGAAAAAGCCAACACCACCACCAGATCTGTTTCTGTCTTTGGAAACCCAAGTATAACCGGATAGGGATATCAATTCAATTGGTATAGTACTATCCATTCTAGTTTCGTTAATTGCGAGTACGTCAATATCATTATTATGCATTACTAGTCTCAGTTCATCAATATGTTTTAGAAGGCTAGCAATATTTAAGCTTCCCATTTTAAAGCCTCTAATTTTTGGAATTAAAGATTCATTTTCATTTGTATTCTCGCTATAGCTAGTGCTCGTAGAAGTTTGTTCATTTACTCTTGATTCCGATGACTTATCAGATAAATTGTTAATATGGCAAAGATAGTCTAAAATGCATATTTGTGATAGTGTAAATAAGATATCTATGGCTATAATACTGTCATTGGGTTGCATAGTTAATACTATAACAACTTACAATGTCATTGCATACAGCTATTTCAATTAAGTTGTCCCCCTAGCTCGATCTGTCCCCCTAGCAAAGCAGAAAAGTCGAATACGAGCGCGAAAGGCTGCTGGGAAACGCTAATAAATTCATTCATTTATCCGCGATTCCCAGCAGCCTTTCGCGCTCGTATTCGACTTTTCCGCTTTGCTCGGTGGACAACCTTAATTAAAATACTGCTATATACATATTTAAAATATCTGTCAATAGCGAATAGGAGAGTTTTGCACTTAAACGACTCTAAAAGGAAACGCAGTTGTGTTATTTTCTGTTTGGTTGCAAATGCACGCGATTTACCGTTATGTAGTCGCTCATATACAACTATTACAGGCCCCCAATGCAGGTATAACTCTTCAATACATGCACGGAAAATTGTGTTTCCCCTTGTATAATTACTTAGTGAAACCCACCTACAATAACAGATTGTGCATTTGGATACATAAACAGCCATGTCGTACCAAAAATACATATGTCAAACCCAATCTGGGCAAAACACAATACTGTTTCAAGTTATCACATATTTACTATATACTCAGCTAGATATACTCAGCTAGATATACTCAGCCAGATATACTCAGCTAGATATACTCGCTTTCTGCAATGCACCTATACTATCGGCCCGGGAATGGAATTTGCAGAGGCAAGCAATAATTTTATTTTCATCCATATCATAACGAATAATCTGCATACATCAGTTGCTTTATAGGTCGTTTTAGGTCGCATTAGCATATATTCACTAACATAACCAATCAGATCTTGAATTTTGACGAAAGAACATTGCATAAATGAATATAAGTCCGCTTTCGTCCTTAGATGCAGGTCAACTACTTGCATTCGCCGCGACCAAAATTCGACGTATAAAACATGAAATAGCCGCAGTGCAAAACGCTTTTCGAGCAAAGTTTCTTGATCGGAATCCCCCTAAGAAAAGCACAGTTATGACAGTAATTACGCCTCCATGGGTAGTAGTAAAATAAGGATTTAAATTCCAACACAGACTTGATTTCAAAAGGTATACTTTTTCCGGACACCCTGTAGTACTCAGACATTCGAATTGTAACATGTACAAAAAGGTGAATTTGTAAAGTCTCCTTTTTGTATGCAAATTTTTAAATGCAAATTTTAAATCATTGTTCAATTCTTTAGAAATTGATTGTATTCACGGTCTATGAACACGGAAATATTTGCATAGCATGACTAAATTGTCGGGCTGGCTACGCCACTGATATTTGATATGCTATATATTCTCATATGTGCTGGTCGATTGCTAGCCGTTAGTGGTATTTCAAATAAAAGAATTCATTATTTTCCCAATAAATTTGACGCCAACATAATAGCTGACGTTTTGTTGTCTGTTAATTCCCAAGAGATTGATTAAATTGCAATCCACCTATATGTTATTTGCCATTTACAGGTACTATTCGTGCATGTACGCTTCACCTATAAATTATTCAAGATGAAGGATCAAAGAACCGATTTTTACCGCCAACATACATTCAATGCCTCCTTTCTTAGTAATGGACTTTGCCAGAAGAAAATAAGTGAATTAAGACTAGAATTCAACGCGCCAATAGTTCCAGCCCAAGATTGGGCAGCTCTAAATTTTGCTGGTTCTGCATTAACGAAAATGAAATTGAGAATTGGAGCGTGTAAAAAACACATATAGAATGTAAACACAACCAAAGCACATGATTTGGCCAATTTCAGTTCTTTTAAAAGCTGTTTTTTTCTTGCTAATTCAGATGAGACCTGTTCTTTCGACAAATCAGTGAAATTCTTGACCGAGGCATGGAGTGCTTTTCGTCCTGCAAGATAAATCTTTGTGTACACAAATGTGTTAAACACCAGGGGAATGCTTATGACTGCTACTCCAATTATGTTGTACGCTTTTTTCGAAGCAACTCCCAAAGGAACCAATATGAGCAACGCTACAGCACTACAACAAATGTACATCAGAAATCTCTTCTTTGTCAAATGGGTACGATGGATAATTGGATGTAATATACCCATATATCTCTCAAATGTCAGTGCACATGTTGTTGCCATAACTAAACCATACGGCATGAGAGCTATTGTTGAAAGAGCAAAGTTTGTAACGCAGTTTGCGGTGCCCAAAATTTCTCTTGCTCGAGTAAATGTTTCCAAAGGAAGCGACACGGATCCAACTGCCAGGTCAACCATTGCTTGAATAAAAATGAGAAAATAGCAAACCCTTTCCCTTAGTTTAGAACTCTTCCTGATAGTGAGCGCCGAAATACCGTTCAAGAGTATTGTAGGAAGCACTAAAACACAATTCGCTGCACACACGACAATTTGATTAATAACGTATTCCCTAGAAGGAAATTGCAGTATAATAAAAGATGCACTGTCTGCTGAAGAGCAGATTTTCACATAATCATATGTTGTATTACTCATTTTCCACTACAATACAGCAACTCTCTGTTCAGGCCGCCTTAACTTGCATATAAATGACACAAACCGACAGGTACGGCTCATTTTTATCATTAAAACTGACACAGTTATTCTACCACAGTTATTATATTTTAAATAATCTATACAGTGATATTTGAACAGGTTGCTTATAAATTAAACTCATTACCTTTTTCATGTCCGTGGGATGAAATTAGCAATTAGTATTAATCTCCTTTATTTAAGATCAGTGCTGATAACTGCATGCATATGGATATATTTTGTTTTATTCATATATAGAGCCACCAGGATTCTCTAGAATGTAGCCGTCTTGAGAGCATTTGAAAAAGAATGGAGCGAGCCCATCTCTAACCCCCGCCCCCCAATTATATGTCCAATTATATTATTCCAATAAATTATATAAACGTACGTGTATATCATTATATTAAAGGACATTTAGTCATGAAGAAAAAGTGCAATAAACCAATATTAATTTAATGCCTTCATCTTGATGATAGCGAGATTAATTAAGCTAATATTTAATGACATTTAATCATCTTGGGATATTGTTTGAGAATTATTGCCGAAGTGCATATTGCATAATATATAACTTCTCACGCAATTTTACATGCAGAGGCTCAAATTAATTGGTGAATATTTAGCAATGATACAGCTGATTATTCATAGCGTTTATTGGCCGCAACCGAAAAAAAATAATTAAAGGCTACAGTGTGACAACAGTCAAGATTTAATTTGTTGGCAACTGACTCGATTGAATATTAGTTGAAGGGCCTTGTATAGATGGAAATTATCGAGTGGAAATTTACATACATTCATTAGACCTACAAGCGAAAATGCAACACTATAAGCCCCTGCATGCAGTAACCATAGGCGTACGGGGGGCGGCAGGAGGGGCAGCTGCCCCCCCCCCAAAAAAGATTACAAAGTCGAAAAGTCGGGCAAATGTTCAACATAAGTCGGGCGGAGAGTGGGAAATTAAAAAGCCAAAAAAGTAGTCAAAGCAATCAAATCTCTCTTAATAATAACTTTAGTTAATAAGTATAAAATATTTAATATTGAAAAACTATAAAAACTTCCACTGTTGCATGTGCTTGAAAAAATCAATTCGAAACCCGTGGTTGATGTAATATAATTGAATAGAGGGTTTTCTCGAATTCCCCAATGGATCTCTTTTTGAACGATGTGATCTAACTCTAACCTTCTACGGAAAATTATGGAAATTTACTCCGAATGCAATTCCTGGTATAAATTCGTTAGTTTGTAAAGTTTTGTACTTTTGTGAAGGATTTTTTCCACTGAAGAGGAAATAATATAGTTAAAGGCTTAAAATTAAAAGCCTGAACTTAATACTGATTGAAACTACGAAATAATTGCTAAATTCAAGGTACGTATAGCTATAGATAATAAATTATACTGATGAAACTTAATCAGTTAATGTAAAATTGTCAATTATAATTATGAATCCGTGGTTTGTCAACGTTTGTAGTTACTTATTACTTTATTAGATTCGTTCTTGAACCATACATTCGTTCAAATTCTTTTTAGAAGCAACAGAAATTCCTAAAATATGTGTCAAATCGTCAGTACGATTCTGTACGAGTGTATGAATATCACCAATTATGTCGACCAAATCTAGCTGTTGCAAAAGGCGCTATCGCCATCGAGTGAAATGCGATGAATGCCAGAAAGAAATGAACTCTGACTATCAAGAAACCCATACTCAAAATATACATCATGGTAAAAAAATAAGTTTAGTCCTTTAGTTGAATCATCACATTTGCAAGCACAGATAATACAATAATAAATCGGAGCAGGTGGCCAGCGCTGCTTCTACAACTGAATCCGAACCAAGTGAGTTGAGAGAAGCAGTTGATTCCAATGCGATGCAAGCGAACAGCGTTAATATTCAGCTGCTCCAGCCACAAATAGAATTAGCACATGAATCAAGTGGGAAAACAAGTGAATGAAATTATGTTCGTGGATGAAAATGTGGACGAATTAGTACGGCAAAACACCTTGACAATCCTGATGGAAAAATTCGACGACCCATCTAAGCAAGCCAAAGAACGGGGTAATGTCCTGGACGAAAACCCAGATGAAATAGTTGTTAACCAAACAACTGATTATGTGCCATCAATAACGTCGTCTAAGTGTCTCGGTCCAAACCAGCCCATCCTATCAGAATATCCAACCAAATTGCTTGGAAGTGAACCATATCCCCGGCGATTTAACCCTCAATTGTACAAAAAATACCCATGGATCACTTATGAAATCGAGAACGATCAGTGTGTGTGCTTTTCCTGTAGAGAGTTTGAAAATGATGATTCATTTGTATTTGACAATTGGAAAAAAACAGATAAACTTTCCAAACACGGAAGATCTGAGAAGCACATAACATCCATGACTAAGTGGGCATTGTCTATAGCCAATCAGAAACGGGACACATCCGTCCTAGAGCAAATTCACGGTGCTCATAAGCAACAAGTAATAAGCAACCGGCAATACCTTCAAGTTATTTTAGAGTGTCTCATGTTTCCTGCCCAGCAAAACATTGCCATGAGAGGACATGTGGAGGATAGGAGAAATATATGGGAAGTCTCAGATATAAACAGAGGGAATTTTCTTGAGTTATTGCACTTTAGATGCAAGGATTTGCCATGGCTGAAACAGAAGCTTCAAAGTCAACTTGAAGCACACGCCCAGTGGACATCGCCACTCATTGGCATAGTTTCGGATATGGTGCTAAAGAGGATCACGAATGAAGTAAGAAACAGTGGTCACTACAGCATAATTGTCGATGAGACGGCAGACTGCAGCAGAACAGTACGGAAGCCCAGAGGCGACAGCATAAAACCACTTTTGTATTTTACATTTTTGTGTTTTATATTTTGTATTTTGGTGTTTTGTATTTTGGTGTTTTATATTTTGTATTTTTGTGTTTTATATTTTGTATTTTACATTTTTGTGTTTTATATTTTGTATTTTTGTGTTTTATATTTTGTATTTTATATTTTGTATTGTATATTTTGTATTTTATATTTTGTATTTTATATTTTTGTGTAATTATAATGTTCTTAGACGTGGAATTATAGGCATTTAGTAATACAAATTGTGATATTTAACAACAATACATATGTCAAAACATGATTACAAGCTATAGAGACATTGTATTCGCGAAATGCGTGTTACATACTGAACGCTTGTTTAAAGAGCATTAAAGTGCGAATTTTTTCGCGCGAAGCGAATTTTTCTTTTGTCTTTATCCAATTAGTTCCACATGGTTTCAGTTGACAGACCAAAGACAAAGGAAAAATTCGCTTCGCGCGAAAAAATTCGCAAGTGGAAAACCGGCATTACTCCCGTAACTAGAAAATACATGCATGCAGAAACCCTCGCCTTGCTGACAAAACCGTTGTATTTTCCGAACATGAAGTATCTAAAGTAGTTGTCATGGTAACACGATAATTTTTTAAGAATATTCTTACAAATGAAAATCGCCTAAAAATATCACTTTTAATTACAAAATTATCAACTTCCCAACATATATATGTTAGGTATGTAATTATACGTAATACAAGCTTCAATTTAAGGTAAAATTCAACCACAAACAATTCACAAAACGTTTTAAAGTGTTCTTTATAAAACTAAGCTGCCTTTTAAATAACTATTAAATGGCTTTATCGATAAACTTTGAGTTTGCAATAAAATGATTTCAAATTCTCGCTTGCAAATAACTTTGCTTTATTTTTTATTTAAAAAATTCAATATAATAAAAAAGGGAATCAATATTAAAGATACACTGAAATTATATGCTGTCTTGTTTAGTTGTTCATATACGCAAAGGCCGTCGGGTTTTAAAGCCATTACAAAATCAATATTTAAAACAAACTTACCTTCGTTAACGTCGGCTCCCTTCTTTTAGCTGATTCTTTCGCCCTTTCTTTCTTGAAATTTACAAAATCTTGCAGAAATACGAGCAAAAATGAAGAATATTTGCAAGAAATTTATCAATCATCAACTCATCAAATCAAGAAATGTTTGCTATTTCGCTGTCGTCATGCAGTCGTTATAATGCAAACTTTAAATTGGACCAATCAGTGTCCGTTATTCATGACAGTCCGCCATATTTTTGAGATCAGTGAGGATGACCACCCATCGTTGGTGACCGACGCCCGCGCTCATTGATGAACTTTAGACTTCGCTAATGCTTTCGTTTCCCCGGGTGTAAATAGCCGGGGGGAATTAGTACCCTCGCACGGCGCTTCGCGCCGCCGGCTCGGGGAATATTCTGCATGACGAATATGCTAATTAACTAGAAAATACATGCATGCAGAAACCCTCGCCTTGCTGACAAAACCATTGTATTTTCCGAACATGAAGTTCCAAAGTAGTTGTCATGGTAACACGATAATTTTTTAAGAATATTCTTACAAATGAAAAATCGCCTAAAAATATCACTTTTAATTACAAAATTATTAATTTCCCAACATAAATATATGTTAGGTATGTTATTATACGTAATATAAGCCTCAATTTAAGGTAAAATTCAACCACAAACGCTACGCAAAACGTTTTAAAGTCACTAGTGTTCTTTATAAAACTAAACTGCCTTTTAAAATGGCTTTATCGATAAACTTTGAGTTTGCAATAAAATGATTTCAAATTCTCGCTTGCAAATAACTCAGTGCTTTCTTTTTTATTTAGAAATTCAATATCATATTTAAAAAAGGGAATCAATATTAATTAAAGATACACTAAAATTATATGCTGTTTGTTTAGTTGTTTCATATACGCAAAGGCCGTCGGGTTTTAAAGCCATTATAAAATCAATATTTAAAACAAACTTACCTTCGTTAACGTCGGCTCCCTTCTTTTAGCCGATTCTTTCGCAGTTTCATTTTGAGAGAGCTTTTGAAATTTACAAATCTTGCAAAAATGCGAGTAAAAATGAAGTATATTTGCAAGAAATTTATCAATCATCAAATCAAGAAATGTTTGCTATTTCGCTGTCGTGATGCAGTCGTGCCAGTCGTTATAATGCAAAATTTAAACTGGACCAATCAGTGTCCGCTATTCATGACAGTCCGCCATATTTTTGAGATCAGTGAGGATGACCACCCATCGTTGGTCACCCACGCCCGCGATATTTGATGAACTTTAGACTCCGCTAATGCTTTCGTTTCCCCGGGTGTAAATAGCCGGGGGGAATTAGTACCCTCGCACGGCGCTTCGCGCCGTCGGCTCGGGGATAAGGCTCGGTTCAGATGGCAAGCGCTTCATTTCTTACGGTACAACTGCACAAGTTCGGCAACTGATAATTTAGAGTTTAGACGCCGCTCTTCTAGATTTGTCATACTTATATATCGTTGTATTATGGGTTCGGCGCATGAGAAAGTTCGCCGTCTAAACCGAGTCTAAGGCTGTCTGCATGGCGAATTCGGTATGCGTGATCTCAGTTATTGATATGCGCGCGATAATGCTCTTTATTTAAACAAGCGTTCAGTATGTAACACGCATTTCGCGCAGTAAAATACAATGTCTCAATAGCTTGTAATCACATTTGACATATGCATTGTTGTATAAAAGTAAAAAGCTGTGCTGAAACATAATATAAACTAAGTAAAAATATAAAAGTGAAAATATAAAAGTAAAAATATAAAAGTGAAAATATAAAAGTGAAAATATAAAAGTTAAAAGTGAAAATATAAAAGTGAAAATATAAAAGTGAAAAAATAAAAGTGAAAATATAAAAGTGAAAATATAAAAGTGAAAATATAAAAGTAAAGTTAGAGATGTGCGTCTAAGCAGGAAGACCACCTGGGGCTATGGTATGTGAGGCTGTAGATAAAAGGCGGGCGGACGACGGACGACGGGAGCATTTTATAAACACATGATTACTACCGCAACTAATTATAATACCCTATAAATTAAAGTACAACAGCCTTAGATCTGTGAAATGAATATCTTTTCACCCGTTCGAATTTTTAGCCATGGAATTTAATTTAATCAGCACTCAATATGTATTATGATAAGAGGCTATTCGCCGTCTTTCGCGTGAAACTTTTGGAAATATTGTAAAAAAGCGCCTTAGTTTTGGTGCTTCTGTATATAACTGCCCTAACACTGCCATTGAATTAAATATTATTAGGAGGGACTATTACATGACATTCACTTGCTGTCATTTTCATACTTTACATTGCGCTGACCTAGCCTCCTCCGCAGGCATCGCCTTTCGATTATGGGGCAAAGCGCTGACATATAATCCCCGTTTTACTTACTAAAAGGCTAACACGTGCAAAGGTCCATTCATGTGAGTGCTTATACACATTACTATTCCACTGTGTATAAATGTAGAACGAAATTATAACCTTTCCTAAGCCTTTCAAATACATTTAAAATACTCATTAAAAATTCATAAACCTTGTGGCAAATCATGTCAGCCATAATATGTCACGTGAAGTGACTTTATATCTGATAAAACTCATCTTCATTAGTATTCTTTATGGGTATGGCTAAAGGGAGACTTACCAACCGGAGAGTAATCTCGGAGAGATATGATTTCGGAGATTTATGTTCGAACCACGCCCACTTTTCCAAACGACCACACCCAACTTCTTAACTCTCCCGACGTTTCCTTGAACTAACATGAGAGAGTTATGTTTGACGTAACTCTCTCTCGTTAACATTATGAAGATGTTAGAGAGTTATCATGTTTTATAACGTTCCGACGATTGTGGCAATGAAGAGAGTTATGTCAGTTTTTTGAGAAAACTTTAGTAAAGCTTGTTTCTTCAGATTTTCATCTTATATTTTGGTATTTCAGTTTGTAGCGTGTCAATAGCGTGCGTCCAAACAGAACTGAATAGTACAACTTGACTCGGTCAAAACAATGAGATGCTTGCATCAGAAGGGTCAAAGTACCCCCAGAAGCATGCTTTGACGTGTATTTGGCAGTAAATACGGTAAGCATAGTTGCAAGAAAATTGAAAAAATTAAGAAAATTGAATCTTTCAGCAATTCAGGTTTTGGAAATATTTTCCCAGATCAGCCAATAGGGCATTACATGCATTGGAAAGGTTTTCTGGTTCCATCTAATACGAGAGCTGTATCTGAATGCTGGGCTTTGTAGATAATCCAAGTGAGCATGTATAATAATTTATTTACTCGTACTCGCTTCACTTGGTAAGTACCAAATTACTACAAGTTTCTACTAGCGTGAAATATTAAAGCTGAAACTTGAGAAAAAAGTAAATTCACAATAATTTTACTAGAATGTGGAAGTTTTTTTCAAAAAACTGACGGACATAACTCTCTTCATTGGCATTGCCACAATCGTGAACGCGGTGAGTTATAAAAAATGATAACTCTCTAACATCTTCATAATGTTAACGAGAGAGAGTTACGTCAAACATAACTCTCTCATGTTAGTTCAAGGAAACGTCGGGAGAGTTAAGAAATTGGGTGTGGTCGTTGGGGAAAGTGGGCGTGGTTTGGACGTGGTTCGAACATAACTCTCCGAAATCATAACTCTCTGAGAGATAACTCTCCGCTTCATAACTCTCCGTTTAGCCGGTCCCATTCTTTATATAATTGTTCATCCTAATTAGTATGATTATATAATTGTTCATCCTAATTAGTATTCTTTTGTAGTCGTATTTTAAGCTATTCAGAACACTCGAACTCGCGTTTTATCATATCTAAAACGCTCGGCTGCGCCTCGCGTTTTAAATACGATAAAACACTCCTTCTCGTGTTTTAAATACTAGGTAATAGAATACCCAATATTTACGCTGCTGCTCAACTTACATTGCCCAAGTTGACATATATACATTTTTCAAACAGCTTGTTACACTGATTACTGTGTGACATTTACATATATAGTAGATATTATAATATATCATATTTACATAAATATGTCAGGAAATTACAAATATATACAATTGTAAATATACTACAATTGTGAACATTCGCATGTCCAAACTTTATAAAAAATTCTCTTAAATCACGATCCATAGCCTATACTCAATACCCAGTACTACCTATATGTGTCCACGAAATAAAACAATCGTTGAAGAGCCTTGAATGACAGAAAAATATCGAGCAGCATTAGGAGGTTTAAAAACTGATTATTGGGCTCAATGAAAATCCACCCCATCAAATGGTCAACCCTTAATACATAATATTTCTAAAACCCATATATAGAATAGTCGTCGCATGCAAATCGGCCATTTCTACGTGTGAACCTCTTAGGTTTATAATTAAAACTGAGATTATTTTCATTATAAAACAACAAGTCAGCACTATTTAAAGCACGAAAATGTCTGCAAGTTAATGTCATCATCATTTAATTCTGCCAAACAAACGCTCCAAAACTAAGGCGCTTTTTTGCAATATTTCCAAAAGTTTAGGTTTCCCGAGAAAGACAGCGTATAGCCATCATACATTAGTATTAAATTAAATTCCATTGCTAAAAATTCGAACGGGTGAAAACATATTCCTTTCACAGATCTAAGGCTAGTAGCCTGGTATACTTTAATTTAGGGTATTATAATTAGTTGTGGTAGTAATCATGTGTCTATAAAATGCTCCGCCGTCCGTCGTCCGCCTTTTATCTACAGCCTCACATACCATAGCCCCAGGTGGTTTTCCTGCTTAGACGCTCATCTCTAACTTCACTTATATATTTTCACTTTTATATTTTCACTTTTATATTTTCACTTTTATATTTTCACTTTAATATTTTTACTTTTATATTTTTACTTTTATATTTTCACTTTTAACTTTTATATTTTCACTTTTATATTTTCACTTTAATATTTTTACTTTTATATTTTTACTTTTATATTTTTACTTTTATATTTTCACTTTTATATTTTCACTTTTATATTTTCACTTTTATATTTTCACTTTTATATTTTAACTTTTACAGTTTTAGGCACAACTTATTTTGACAGTAAGAAAGTTTTTAGGCCATGCGTATAAAGACGGTTACATGCCCGAAAGCTGGATTCGGCTTTAGTGCGATACGCAGTAGAATTCCGGCCATGTCATCAGCCGACGATATCGTGTTTTCGGTTGCAAGTCAGACGTCAATGAAATGCTGAATCACATACCATAGCCCCAGGAGGTCTTCCTGCTTAGACGCTCATCTCCAACTTTAACTTTTATATTTTCACTTTTATATTTTCACTTTTATATTTTCACTTTTAACTTTTATATTTTCACTTTTATGTTTTTACTTTTATATTTTCACTTTTATATTTTTACTTAGTTTATATTATGTTTCAGCTCAGCTTTTTACTTTTATACAACAATTATGCATATGTCAAACATGATTACAAGCTATAGAGACATTGTATTTTACTGCGCGAAATGCGTGTTACATACTGAACGCTTGTTTAAATAAAGAGCATTATCGCGCGCATATCAATAACTGAGATCACGCATACCAAATTCGCCATGCAGACAGCCTTAGACTCGGTTTAGACGGCGAACTTTCTCATGCGCCGAACCCATAATACAACGATATATAAGTACGACAAATCTAGAAGAGCGGCGTCTAAACTCTAAATTAGTTGCCGAACTTGTGCGGTTGTACCGTAAGAAATGAAGCGCTTGCCATCTGAACCGAGCCTTATTACGGGAGTAATGCTAATTAATAGTAATGCTAACTAAATAATAAACAAGCGTTCAGTATGTAACACGCATTTCGCGCAGTCAAAATACAATGTCTCTATAGCTTGTAATCATGTTTTGACATATGTATTGTTGTTAAATATCACAATTTGTATTACTAAATGGCTATAATCCCACGTCTAAGAACATTATAATTACAAAAAATATAAAATACAAAATATAAATACAAAATATAAAACACAAAAATACAAAATATAAAACACAAAAATGTAAAATACAAAATATAAAACTCAAAAATACAAAATATAAAACACAAAATACAAAATACAAAAGTAATTTTATGCTGTCGCCTCCGGGCTTCTGTAGAACAGAGCAAGTATCATTATGTCTAAGGTACGTTTTCGCAGGTCAGACAAAGGAAACTTTTGTTGGGTTTTACACAACTCCATCAACCGAAGGGGAAATTCTATAGGAGCTCGTGAAGACGTCTATCAACAAGCTTGGCTTGAAGCTAGAAGATATTGTGGGAAAGTGTTTCGATGGAACTGCAAATATGAGCGGGGTCTATAAAGGACTAGCGACGCGCATGAAAGAATGCTCTCCACTTAGCGTTTATGTCCACTGCTATGGACATCTTCTAAATCTTGCATATTAATATTGAATCAATGCGTAACGCCCTTGGAATAATCCAAAGCCTCTACAATTTCCTTGAAGCCAGCCCGAAACGCCACAGGTTGTTCCAAGACATTCTGATCGATGAAGATCATATCAACCTAACACTCAAGTCTTTGAGTCTAACTCGATGGTCATGTCGGGAGGCTGTAAAGGCTGTAGAAGAACAAATGCCATGAATCGTTCAATCACTCCTTACTCTTTCGAAGGACCGTGATCCTAAAACATACAGAGATAGCAAGTCTTTACTTATTGCAATTTGTGATTTTCAATTTATATTTTGTTTCCGAGTGCTTAAGGTGATCCTTTCTAATACGGATAGTCGAAGCAAGTATCTACAAGGAAAGGATATGGACGTCATCACTGCCAAGAAGACTGCTGATTCAACCATTAGAGAGTTTCCGAAAACATAACGGCGACGGCAACGCGAGACCGGTAGTTTTATGAAACTGCGCATGCGCAAGTCAGAGGAAACCCCAAATTGACGTTCTCGTTTCACGCGACCGACGTGAAGTAAATAAACTTCACGTTGCAGCTACGACGCGAGATCAAGGGAGAAAACATGGCTGCTTTGGCCTCGACTTCCTCGACTTTGGCCGCTCAGGAGAAACAAAAAAGGTAGATATATGTTTATTTTGACCTGTACTTGCACTCCAACATGATTTATACGACAAAACAAAGTGTTTTGATGCATAGTGGGGCAATGGCTAGTGTCGTCAGGATGCGTTTGCCAGTAATTTCGATTCGTTAAACAAAGCAACAAAATATACCTAAACGTTCCTCGAACGTTTCGACAAAAGCCCTTTGTCAAATATTGCTGGGAACCTATAAATTGACCTTTTCTATGTGGGACGTTTCTAGATTTGTCATGTAATGGTTGCAAGCATAGTAGCTCTCACTTGTTGGTTTAACTTTATAGATGGGCAAATTTTGTTTTAATACATTTCTGTTTGTTTACTTAATAGTATTAAACCTATGTGCTGGACTACAAGGCATGATGACCTATTTATTCGTGAGATCCTTATGTTCGAGCCATGGAATTTCAAGAAAGGTTCACCCGAAAGAGGGAATTGTTGGAAAAGTATTGCTGAAAGCTTAAATCAAATTGTTGACCCTTCATTCAGGGTGGAAGACAGATCTGTCAGTGATAGATTTAAATTGCTGGAGAAAAAATATATTAAAAAAACGAATGAAATGGATCGAGCATCAGGGATTGCACCAGAGGAAGAGAGTGAGATGGAAAAAGGCTTGCGTGAAATTATTGAATTGTTTAAGGACAGTGATTTGACAAAGCATCTGGAAAAGGAAAAGCAAAGAGAGGCAATGGATAATGAAATGCAGCAAGCAGAGGAACTGCGGTTGCAATCTCTTGAAACTATAGGAGAAACCTCCAGAAGGAAAGGTAGCGATAGAGAAGAGACAGCACCAAAACGAAGGAGGTCTGACGACACCATAAATTATTTGAGAGAGAAGAGTGAGAAAGAAATGCATGTGCGACAACAAGAGTTGGAACTTAAGAAAGCTGAACTGGAGGAGAAGAAGACAGAATCAGAGAGACTATATCAGATGATTATGCAACAAAATGAACAAAATCAAGCTTTGTTGCAGCAACAACAACAAGTTAACCTTGCTTTGATACAATTTTTAACAAAACAGAATGAACAAAAGTAGAATTTGCATGCCATCTTATGTTTGTTTATGTTTTTTGTTGTTGCAAAGCTTTTAAAAGAAACTTTGTGAACTGTTGACATTAATACATATTTGCTTTCATAGTTATCTATTTCAAAATCAAACTCTTTACTCAACATGTCACAAAAGCACAATAATTTTGTGAACCTCAAGAAGTATTTTGAACTGTTTTAGACTTACTTAAATTTATAATATATATAAATTGGCTTTAGACTGGCTGCAAATTAAGAGTAGACACAAACGGCTTTTGTGTGGGAGAATGGGTTATGGGGGTGAAGTACTCCTGTTACAATCAGTGCTATACTATAAGTATATTTAATCCAACAGACTCTTCATGGCCTTACATTTTATCCCGCAGGGTATATATGGCCGCTCTGAAAACACTAGGGGCAAGGATCCCTAGGGCTGCCCTGGGGGTAAAGGTCCCAAGAGCAAATGCCAGAAGGGTAGTGACCCCTTCTGACCTTACTGACCTGAACCAAGGGGTAAGGGTCCCTTGGACAGTTCCTATAACTTGACTGATTATATTTACATTGAATAAGGCTTTGAAACATGTAACCTCTCTCATATGTGTTTGGCCAATTCTATTTGTGGACATGACAATCAGAGACAGAGGCCAATAATTGAAATAATAATGCCTTTAATTAATTAATTAATTAATTAATTAATTAATTAATTAATTAATTAATTAAAAGTAATTTAATTTCAACCTATAAAAGTCATAAAAACATTAATATTTCATGAAGTACAGACAAAGATTCAGACCATTCACTCTGTAAACGACACAATGTATTGTCTGAGATAACAGTTTAAATACATGCAGTAATATGTTACTTTTATAAAGTGGGGGGCCAATTTTGTTTGGGTGGGAGACCAACAAGGGGGGCTGGAAGGGGGGGGGCTGGGAATGGCCACCCAGTATATGTTAAAAAAATGCTTTGATGCAACATATTCAAATCAATTGTCATATAAATTAGACTAAATTTGCAATATCATATAAATTAGGACAGAGCATTTATAACAGAGTTATAAATTACATATATATAGTTCTGTCATAAAAAGAGAATTACAACACTTCAGCTGAAGTATTCTTGAATTAATGGTGGAGGACACTCAAAATAGTTAGATGTGGTTGAGCCATAGAAACAAGACCTTGAATTCTGTAATAGAACACACACAATGTACATTTTCCCCACAGCACTTAATTGAATCTTCAGATTTTTGTGAAAGTCCAAAAACTTAAAATAGTTCAGAATATCACCAAACACCCATTCAACAGAACAACGAACAACACTCATAGCCTTGTTCCAGTTCTTTTGTTGTTCGTTCACTTGTGCTCCTCTGAATGGAGCCTGGAGTTGCAGACGTAAGGGGTATGCGGGATCACCGTAAATACAAAGAATAGAACCATCAGGTGCCCTTGAATGTTGTTGAAGCGATTCTAATAATCGTGATCTTGCAAGCATGGTACTATCATGGCGTTTTCCTTCTACAGGGCCATAAAGATTAGCACACATTCCATTAGGTGCTACGACAGATTGGAATTTTATGGCATGTACCTTTTTATGGCCATTGTATAATACTCTTTGGTGTTGACCTGGTCGGCAAACTCTCCTTACAGTACCATCTATGAATCCCCAGCAATTTGGTAAAGGTGCACCATGATCACGAATTGTGTGGGCATATTGTTGTAAGTTTGCAGGTGAAAGCCATTCTTGTTCAAATGTTTGAAGTAAACGACCCCAACGATCATAAACAAAGTTCATAGCAAGGTTGCTTATCATTGAAAGTTGTGGGACAGATAGGGCAAATCTAGGCATAATATCCAAATACCTGCAAGGATATGCAAATCTTTTGAGAAGAACACAAAGTGCAGTCAGACCCAAAACTTTAAAACCATTGACACATTTCATTTCTTCTGGGATTTGCAAAACTTCATAAAGCGTGTATATGTCATTTTTTAAGAAACGAAACTCAGCTTTACACTCATCGTTGCAAAGGTTATCCAGGTCAAATTGTTCGTAGTCCCAATATGGCAAATCAAGATTTGTTGATCTGTTAACATCATAGAGCATTAAGAACTCTTCGTCGTCAATAAAACCTTCATCATGAGCATTTAGCAAAGCATTTCTATTTTCTCTAAAACTCGGCATTTTTGTTAAAGTATGAAACCAGTGAGTACTATAACATTTTCACGTTTCGCGCCAAAATGAGCATTTGACGGAATGAATAATACACGAAACCGCGACGGCAACGGCAACGTCATGAACGAAGTTGCCGTCGCCGTCGCCGTTATGTTTTCGGAAACTCTCTATTATCCAGAAGAGTGGCCAGTTTGTTACTGCTGAACAGAAGAATGCAATTGAGGCTGAAATGAAAACATTGGAAAAGCTCACCAACAAAGGGTATCGGACTGGAAAATTTAGTAATGATACAAATATTCCTGACACTCTTTTTACAACATTATTGGATGAAATTATCGAAAATTGTCCTATTATCACATCCGTTATTGAGAGTTTGCTTGTGTTCAACAAGAAAGAGAGGAACGTGAATAAAACAGTTACTTATAAGATGCTATGTGCTAGCCAGTCATTGTCAGTTTTAGTGAACATACGAAATTCAAGGGTCATGAATGACTTTGTATTTTTATTTGGTATGTTATGCATTTCGTATGGTGCTGGGATGCAATTTATTAATATGTTGTCAGCTATTGGTCTTACTCTACATTGGGATACACTGTAAGTATACATTTAACCTATCAAGTTGCATTCTTTGGCACCAATTTGCCAATCTGATATTGGCAGGTCAGCTTTTAGGTCCCCATTGCCAAATGCAACCATGTCTTTTATGACTGACATGAACCTTTAGCCGCCTCGTACCCAGGTGCTTTAAATAATTATAATACATGAAGTATTCAGGCAGGCGATGCGCAAAGGGGCTGTCGGGTAAGGTGCGTCGCATCGCTGTTTTTTTTACAAAGAGACGCCTGGGTACGGGGCAGAACCTTCAGGGTCTGAAATTTGCATTATCCCGACTTACCAAACTGTAAATGACTTATATACAGACTGGATAGCACAAAATTTCAAATATTATGATACAGTAATTGATAAATGTCTCCAGTGGTTTCTATACAGCTTTGAACTTCCATTTCTAACTTGGTGGGTTAGTTGATGACTGTTGAGTCTCCTGTTGTTACAGCTGTAATTTATAACAATGACAGACATGTACTTTATACTTACTTTGATGGTTCAGGGATGCCAAAGTTTATGGTAACCAGTGTCCAGTAGTGGGATACTGGCACCTGATTCTCAGAAAGGATAATAAACTTTGACTGGTATCCCAATGGGGTGCTGAAAAATATGTTAAATTTCAGACCCTGTTAATTAACCGTATCTGCACATAAAGCCTGGTTCACATATGCCTGCGACTGTATCATTATGCCTGTACTTGCTGCCGAAGTACCAGCAAAGTTGAACTCAAGTCAACTTTCCCGGCCTACCGCAGATATATGTAACTGTGGCACTGGAGGCAATCGGCGAACAAATGTTCACATAATTTACGTTTTAAAGCTACCATCGGCATCATCGCCGGTACGTCACAGGCATATATGTGAACCAGGCTTAAATTCTGTTAAGAACTCATTTCAAATTAAGCTTCCAAAGACATTTTTCTCAGCCCATCTTCAACACCCCTCAATTTCCACAAGAGCACATGGGTGCTGACAACAGCCTGTCTTCAATTTTAGAGTCTTTTAACC